TTGTGTGGATTAACCAGCAGATTTGCCCCTGTGTGATAACGTCCTCAGCCTCAGAAGGAGGCAACGGCAAACCACCTTTGAACAAATTTGCCAAGAAAGGCTCAACAGTAGGAATTATCTTAAGTCAATCAAATTGAAGACATAGAACAACAGCTTCTTGTTCAGGAGCAACAGTCAAAAGGAACTTCCATGCTAAAGGATGAGCCTGCATCTACTCTGAGCAGTTTTGTATCTGTATGTGCCTGTGAGGCTGCATCTTCACTGCAAAAATAATGCAGTTTGATGCTGCTTTAACTGCCATGGCTCAATGTTATGGAATTCTGGGATTTGTTGTTTGTTGTGGCACTAGAGGTCTCTGATAAGAGAGAGCAAAATATCTCATACAAGTACAAATCCTAGACTTCCATAGCGTTGAATCATGGCAGTTAAAGAGGTGTCAAACTGCATTAATCCTGCAGTGCAGATTAGACCTAACTCGCTTGTTGGTTTACAGCAATCTAATGAATTTCATAGGGTTTTTCTTAGGCAAGGAATACTCAGAGGTGGTTTGCTATTGCCTTCCTCCGAGTTGTTTCCCTCCAGAAGATTCCCCCTAATAAATGTCCCCCAAACTAGGAGGTTATTCAGATGTTGTTCTTTTTAGCGTGACTATGTGAATAATCTTACTAACGCATTTTGATTTTGTTGTTCAAACTATTAATTGGAACCGCATCCCTGCGCATCTTCGCAAGTTCTGTTGCTCACACATCTCAGCACTGCAAATAAAGATGGAATCGATGATGTGGGTGTATTCAAAACACATTCGAGGCATGCAGAGTTTTATCCTGGTTTATTCTGGGTCTATTCGCATTGGTTATTCACACAGCTGATAATGCAAATCTTTTAGGGAGTTTATCACACAGGGGAAATCCTGTGCGGAAACAGGGCTTTAAATTAAACAAAACCCGCAAAAGCGGGTGTTTTTTCAAACGACGTCACTGTTAAAAGGAGGTTAATCCGAACGGAAATTAGACAAAAACTGCTTCTTTTTACTTTCGGAAGATCCTGAAAGTAAAAAGAAGCAGTGTTTGTCTAATTTCCATTTGGATTAACCTCCTTTTAACAGCGCTTTCACTTTTCACACAGGGCAGAACGGGAGAAATCCCATTCATTAAAAGCTTCCGCTTTTGCGGGGTTTTTTTACTTTAAAGAGTGATTTTGCACGGGGCTCCCCATGTGATAAACTCCTAGGAAAACTTGGGGGGAAACCCAAGATCAATTATCCTGGATCAAGTGTGTTTTTTTGGCAGCCCTCCCCCCAAAAAGAAACTTTCTTGGATACATTTGAAATGCATATGAACAAGAAAGATTCAACCCAGATTCTACTGGGATTAATTTCACCATCTGAATAAACCCATAGGAGGAAAGGAGTGAACTAGATGCAAGATCAAGTGCACCAGTGAACTTGTGCTTGCCTGTTGAAAAATCTGAAACAGAAAAGACCTTTTTCTTTCCAAGAATCCAGTTCTCTGGATCACTTGAATGCAACCTCACAAACATCAAGGAAGCTGGTATTTCCATCTCTCGGAAGTTAAAGTACTGGGGGAAATGCCCACACAATCCTTTCCAGTCATCTTCAACCTTCTGTCAGAAGCAAGGGAGTAGCAAAAGGGTCAACATTTTCCTGGCTTCAAAAGCAGCACATGAACTCCTGGGCAATGACTGGCGATCACTTAAAAATACACATCGAGAGACGGAGGCACGCACACCTCTCTCTGGCTTGCAAGGAAACAAATCTGCCATTCTTAGGTGTGAATATGTTTGTGTTTAGTCTCCAACTGATACAGTCCTGCCTTTGCCAAGTCCCTGGCTCCACAGCGAGGGAGAGACTCACAACTGCACACACATCGCCTTTTCAGCAGGCTCTCCCACCCCACACAGAAAAAAGGCTTGTGACTTAATAGGATTTTGCAGACACAAGACTCCTTTCGCCAACCCAGTTGGTAGATTTCAATCAAGTCAAAGGAGTTGCTCCTTAGCTTGGGTGCAAGCGACAGCTCATGATGAAAAGCCAGCATCCCAAACCCTGGAATAACTTGTGATATTTCCATCCTTGTGAGCATTTTCATACACCACAGGGGTTGAGAGACCTGAGAGATTCAATAAAAAAGTAATGGAAAGGGAAGTTTGCCAGACTAGCACTACGACATGTGTGTTGTGTCCTTCAAGTCATTTCCAGCTTATGATGACCCTAAGACAACCCTATTTCTTCTCAAATTTCTTGGAGGGGGGGATTGTCATTGCCATGCTCTGAGGCTGAGAGTGTGTGACTTGCCCAAGATACTTCATTGCCATACTCTGAGGCTGAGAGAGTGTGACTTGCCCAAGGTCATCCAATGGGTTTCCATGGCCGAGAAGGGAATCGAACCCTGCTCTCCAGAGTCATAGCTCAACATTCAAACCACTATGGCGCACTATGGCATTCCTTCCAACATTTCACAGATGAAAACCGAGACATGTGGCCAGGCAACATCGGAGTGTGGTCAAGATGGCAAAAGTTATCAGTGATGAAGAACACCCAAGCTAGGGATGTTATCACACATGGGCCACAAAGCGATAATAAACTGGAAATGACAAATTCCGAAAATAAACCGAAAATAAACCTTGATTCCGCAAATGGTTTTCACACGTAATTACCTTAATTGCGCAATTAAGGGAAGCTCCCGCTGAAACCGCATTTAACGTTCACACACAAGTGAGAAAATCCCATACATGTACTAGAAATTATCTTCTAGCACATGCGCACTATGCTCGCTGCGGCTGTCACTTGCCGCGGCTGTCACCCCTTCCCCAGGTTGTCCTCGGAGCGGCCGGCCCTCCGCACGGCCAGCGATCCGAGGAGGACCTCCCACCACAGCATTCTCCGAGGAGGTCCCCCTTGGAGCGCCGGCCGTGCGTAAGGTCGGCTCTCCAAGGAGGTCCCCCTTGGAGGGTCGGCGCTCCGAGGAAGTCCCCCTTGGAACCATGGGAAAATGAGGGGAAATGTTTCCAAATGTGCATTTGCTTTCCACATTACGGCGAATTTACCTTAATTGCGAATTTACCTTAATTGCGCATTTGCATTTCCTCCAAACAACTGAATTTCAAAAGATCTCGGTTAACACCAGTTTCTGTCCACTTTCTGTCCACTTTCTGTGCGACGTTGTTTTTTTAATCCTTCACAGGATGTCTCTGCAGATGTGATAATTAATCACAACAATCCCCTTTTCCTGTAAATCTTTTTGGATGAAACTATAGTGGCTCTTTTGGACTTTTGGTTAAAGCTAGATGTACTAGCTATTGGGAGTTGCATCATTGTCCACCTGCCCAATTTTTTTGTATTTTTTTCTGTATTATTTTCTTTGCAATATTGTGAAAATTTCAAAATCTATACAAGTATCTGAAACAGCAAATAACCAGTTAAAGAAAGTTCCTTAAACAATTCTGTGATTTTTCCCCCCCATTGGAACATACTTTTACATAAATAAACTACAGTGCATTTGAATTTTAACACTATTAACACTCTCGGTAAACATGACCTTTCTGCAACATTATTTTCCTTCCAACAGCAATCAATGGCTGCCAATTTTTTAAAAACAGCCTAACTTAGCCAGTGCCCATCTGTATCTTTCTGCACAACAGCAATCAAGTTGCATATTAAGATAATGTAAGGATAAAGTTTCCTTAGCCGTTTCTAAACTGAGAGTAGTAGCAGTTTGTTTTTAACTTGGACCATTAACACTTTGGGTCATTTCTTTCCTTGTGGATGCACATCTCCCCTTTGCATTATATGAATTTTTCAGTAAGCAAATGAGCAAAAGCAGCCTGATTGATGCCTTAATGGAGATTACTTGATACAACACAATCACACCGCAATCATACTATCCAACATTTTTCAGATGAAAACCAGGACACTTGTGGCCAAGCAACATCAGATGGCAAGAGTTATTAGTGAGGAAAAATACACAAGCTAGGAGACGCTGCGGCACTTTGCTTTTGCCTGAATCTACTGGGAAGGGCAAGATTTTGCCCCCAACTCTTCTCTCTTCCCTACTGAGTTAGATAAATGCAAACTACATTTCTTCTTTGGACTCTATTTGCAGCACTTGAAGTAGGCTGAGGACAAAGGGGGAAAGTGGGAGGATATAGAAACTGGGACATTATAACTACAGGAAAAGAGATTCCGCCTGAACATTAGGAAGAACTTCCTGACAGTAAGAAGATTATCGCACAGCCTTCCACTCGGCCCCAGGGCGGACTGAAAATTTGGGGAATTTTTTTTTTCAGATTGAGTGTTATTGCACACCTCCATCCTTAAACCAGAGGCATCGTGACCCAATCTTAGCCGGATCCATCCCCAATCTTTCCTAATCCTGTCCTTCGTTAAGGATGGCATTCTTTGCAAATCGGGTCATGATGCCTCCAGTCTGAGGACAGAGGTGTGTGAAACCACCCAATGGGGGGGGGGGTTTCCCAAATTTTCAATCCGCCCTAGGGCTGGGTAGAAGCCCATATGATAATCTCCTAAGAGTTGTTCGACAGTAGAACACACTTCCTCGGAATGTGGTGGAGTCTCCTTCTTTGGAGGTTTTGAAACAGAGGATGGATGGCCATCTGTCGGGGGTGCTTGAATTGTATCTTCCTGCATGGCAGGACATTGGACCGGAGGACCCTTGAGGTCTCTTCCAATTCTATGATTCTATAATAAAAGCAGCTAAAAAAGAATGCCGAGAGAGGATTAGTCCAGGCTATGCCTGCCAAATTGAAACAGTTGCCAGGCAT